GTTTGTACATGATTGTACTTCACTCCTTCACTGCCGACAGACTCCACCCCTTAAATAAAACTGTGAAAGGAGCAATCCAGCCGTTCCTCTGCAGTATGCTGATTCTCATCTCTGTCAAGTGCATACTGGATTTCCTGATTGGATGAAAGGGAAGTAACATCTGTAACTTCTGGCCTCCAATACCTGCTGCCCTTCCATTCACTGCTGCACCTTCTTAATGGAAGTGGAGATAAGAAGCCAACACCCGCTACAGATAACTTTGACTTTGTGCCAAGGATGCAGACACGGCTCTTTCTGCATTCCTCAATGGACTGAAAAGCCTACAGTAATGGCCCCAGTACCACATTATCCCCCAGTATGTGATGGGGAATGCTGTCTTCTCCAAGTCCATGAAGCATGTATGACTGTTGATATTTCCCATGATTCCTCACACAGCCATGGAAGCAAGAATAGTGGGGCTGCTGTTCCACAAGCAGACTGCAATCCCCAATACTGTATATGCACTGTACGAGCACTGTGTGTGTGTATGCGTGTGTTCATGTATGTTCAGATAAACAAATAACACACACATATACAACAATTGATAGATTTCTAAAAGACCATGTGACATTCATGAGAGGAGAGGGGAATTTGTTACACATGAGGTAGGAATTGGATTAGCGAAGGTATCCATACACACCTATGGTAGTGTGTCCAGTGTGACGCTTAAAGCTCAAAGTGGGAACCTTGCAGTGGAACCTTCATCAGTGTGTTTCAGTTATACTTAGTCATAATTTTGATCAGTTAGATATTCATGGAACAATTAAACATGTATAATGCTGTATCTTTAACTAAGTATTGACTAATTAACAGCCAATAGGAAATCAGTGAAAGAACAGTCCAGAAAGAACGATAATGCTAAGATATAATAACAATGCTAAGTTTGCCGCCTTATCTCTTTAATCTCCTTTCAAAAGCTTGTAATTTCCTACAAAAGGTTCTTTTTGTTTTGAGTGGAAGCAGTGATTTCATTGGCCAGCAGAGTTGCTATGGGAAGCTTGTGTTGTAGCAACAAGAGCATGAGCCGTGCATGTTGAGAACATGAGCTCGTAATGTCTTTGTCTGGACTAGTTAAGGGTTTTCATGACAAAGATTCAGTCTGCTCTGCATCATGATGCAAAACAAGGAGACTCACACTGAGGATGAACTGAAGGTAGGCTATGGGCTGCTGTATAGACTAAGGATGACGTGGCATTTTGTTCATTGAGCTTTTTGTTAGCTGAGGGTTTGGGGTTTGTATCTATGAGTTGGAGCCACAGATTATCAGCCCCCTGTTAACCAACTCCCCCCCCACCCCCACTTTACAACAACAATGTGTAAGATATGAGAGCATTTTTCAAAACCCATGAGCCTCAAGTAGAAGTTCCCTAGACCTTCAGAGAGGGATTTGTCCAGCAGAAGGTTATTATACATTGCACATCTTTCTGAAACAACATTCTGCATGGCCAGGTGTGTTACTGTTCTCTACCAGGACCTGCTGCCTTCATTCCTTTTTTCCCTTCAGTGCATCGTGTGAGCTAGGCTGTTAGTAATGCAGTTACTGGGGTATAGAAAACACCCAGAGCAGTGTATACAGGGTAAAATTTTTACCGTACAAAATATTTATTAATGAGTCACTGACCTATGAATAGTTCCTATACATTATGTGCATACTGTAGGCAAGCTGAAAGTAAAAGATTTTTTGAGGGCATATTGGATGAGTATGGTGATGTTGAGGGAGGGCAGAGTGGGGAGGTTGGACAGGGGGTGATAATGGACTTTGTTATGAAAGTCGTGAAGGAATGGTATTGAGTCAGGTCTAAGGTCCTGATGGGGACCTGCTTTGTGGCTGGAAACTACTGCAGAGGAAGTTATTTGGTGTGAGCTTGCTGTCTAATTTCTATACGTAGAATATAATTGGCAATAGGAAAGATTGACAGGAAATATAAAGCCTGGGAGTAGCACTCTGTATCACTCTTTGTGTTGCTGTATGTCCCCCATTACCCCGGGAGTAGCACTCTGTATCACTCTTTGTGTTGCTATATGTCCCCAGTTATCCTGGGAGCAGCACTCTGTATCACTCTTTGTGTTGCTGTATGTCCCCCATTATCCCGGGAGCAGCACTATGTATCACTCTTTGTGTTGCTATATGTCCCCAGTTATCCCAGGAGCAGCACTCTGTATCACTATTTGTGTTGCTATATGTCTCCCATTATCCCGGGAGCAGCACTCTGTATCACTCTTTATGTCGCTATATGTCCCAAGTTATCCCGGGAGCAGCACTCTGTATCACTATTTGTGTTGCTGTATGTCTCCCATTATCCCGGTAGCAGCACTCTGTATCACTCTTTATGTCGCTATATGTCCCCCATTATCCTGGGAGCAGCACTCTGTATCACTCTTTGTGTTGCTATCTGTGCTCCATTATCCAGGTGTTGATCTCATTTTAACATCCTCTAGTAATTCAACAAATATCGTGTGGCTCTCAACCTGAATGTTGGGTTATAAGGTGCCCCAGCATCCCTGACTTCACAAATTGGTCCATGGACTTGACAGGTCCAGGGTGGTGTTTTTGGACTGCCTTCTCTCCATGCCTTGGCTGGGATCCTCCAGGAGAAGGTGCATGTTTTTGGCCAAACCCAGGACATGCTGCAAGCTCCAACACGACAGCAGCCTGAGCCGGGCCACAGTACCCTGAGCACGGCACATCTCCCTGAGGCCACATCCAGGTGGGCAGCAGTCTCTCCCACCTTCTCATGCCTCTTCTTCCTGCAGTTTAATCCTCAAGGTCTGTTTTAAAATGACACTGTAATGTTTACTGTCACTGTCATTTTGGTTCTAATGTATATTAGATTAGCTGCTCTGTTGGCTTTGCTTCGACCTGAATATCGGATCCTCTTACTCTCAGGAGTCTGATTATTCAGGCGACGCTGAAGCAGGGTCTGGCCTGTGCTTTCTCAATGAGCCAATGAGCCATACATTGTGATTAAGGGACGGAGGTGGCCCCAGAATTCTGCCAATTTACCACAGAGAGGGCCTGATTTAAAGCCTAATATATATCTTAACATTTTAACCTTACACTACTGTTGAATATTTCTTCATCTGAAGTCATTTGATCTAATAATGTGGCAATACTTACTTGGCTTCATGTTCAGCATATATTTTAGACAGTCTTTAGCAGTCAATGTAATGAGAGTGGATGGAGAAGGGTTACAGATTCCATGCATCTCTCCCTTAGCACCTCAGTAACCGACACACATGCTGCAGATACAGAACATCAGAGCAGGGTGAGTACATGGTTGGTGTCTGTCCTACTGTACCAGGCCAGCAGGGGGTGCTTCAGCAGATGTAATGGAGCATGGACACCTTACTCAGCTCCTGCTTGGCCTCCAATCATGTCCACGCACAAGCCTCACAGTAATCAGCTGTTTTAAGTCCTTCAGTTAAGTGCTGTTTACTTTCATGAGACTCAGGGGAACCACAGGCATCAATAACTAAGAAAGAAATCCCATAAAATGTCCTGGATTCTGGTTCTTTTGCCTTTAGTTTTGGGGCAAGACAGACGTTGGTAGCTAATCGTGACTTCATCGCTTTGTGTAATATTACTGCTCATCTGCAGATTAGATTGGCAATCATTTAAAAAAAAGTCATGTGTGAACCACCCATCATCTGTGAAACAAATAATGTATTAATGTATTTTGTCAGTGTACACTCAGAAGGAAATAGCAGTTTCAAATGTATTAAATCAGTGACACAAGAATTGCTCATTTAAACACACATGAAATAGTGTTTCAATGAGCAAAGAGCAAAGAATCCTAAAAATGTGACACTACTGCTGTTAGTATTTGGCAGTTTCAATTATTGGAACGATTGCTTCTGTCCAATTAGTGAATTAATTAATAATTCACTGGTTAATCGATTGAATGCTTTGGCTAAAATGGATAGCTATATACTCACCCGGACAAGGGATTGATGGTTATGATGTTACCTAGGAAATGTATGACCCCTAGTGGTACAAATCTGAAATAGTTTGTTGCTAGCAGTAAGAATTGGTGAGGCCTGTTTTAAAAGGACATACTGCGTAGTGATTACACACCTTCCCCCTCTGTGGCTACAGAGATCAGCATACACTTTCAAAGACACACTTGTCTTGAAAAGTAAAAACTGGAAATATGTAAAATTCACTTTGATTTACATGCTTGCAGTAATCGTGTGACTGCAGTGACTTAGCACCTCACTGGTTTTGTGTCATTTTTAAGTTTTTGTCAGGTTTTAGCTACATCAGTGTGATTGTGAATTGATTAACATGATGTTTATGATTCGGTGTAATTTAATGCAATGCGTAATAATGTGATAACAATAATAAGGAGGAGATGGAGAATTACCACAGAGCCATGAATAAAATGGCCGAGGACATCCTGGCGCTGAGGAGGCAGGTCAGCACCTTGAACTCTGATAACAGCCAGCTGCGCAGCCGGTTCAGCCTGCACCACGACCTGAGCCGCTCTCCGCTCAACACTGACATCGACGTCATGACCAAAGAGGAGATCGCCGACTGTATTGGTAAGCCTGCCTGCTCAGCCCGCCCTGCACTCATACTGGGAGCTGGTGCCTCAGCACACAAAGAGGCACACTGCCTCATCTCTGAGGTGCTTCTTCGTCTACAAGCCGACCTGCTCAGCCCGTCCTGCACTCATACTGCGAGCTGGTGCCTCTGACATCCATGAAGAGGCACACTGCCTCGTCTCTGAGGTGCTCCTTCATTTGCCTGCTGATTTATTTCCCGCACTCACACCTAGGAGAACAGTTTATTTATGTTATTGTTTTTAGCAGACTGAATACATTACAGCTGTTAGTAACTTTAGGGTCGTGTGGCTCAGTGTGTTCGGACACTGAGCTTCTGAGAAGAAGGTCACTGACGCAAATCCCAGGGTCGGCAGAGTAATTTCACCCTTAGGCTCCTAAGCAAGGCCCTTAATCCCCAGTTGTTTTAGGGACTGTCTGGCTCTGTTTGCCGAAACTGTCACTTTGGATGAAACTGTCAGCCAAATCAATGCTACTATTTTGTAAGAAGTTTCATTATTCTAAACTAGTGCCAATTCAGTTTTATAAGGGTTTGGAATATTATAAAATAATTTTCACCTCTTTACAAGTCTGATGCCTTGTTAGGGCAATAATTCCTGTCCGTTCTGTGGGTTTTATGACATTCTTGCATATTTCTCTGCACTCCCAGCACACATTCAAACATAACCTCATTTTTCGGAATGCTAAATGCTACGAGATTAAACTCTTATCTCCTAAAAGGCCAGAACACAACCTTCACATAGTGCCATCTGAGACGGCTCAGTGTATTCCTGAAAGCAAATGGGTTTTTTCCCACCTTTCCATGCAGAATTACAGGATGTGAGGCATAAACACACAGTATGTATATTCCAGAGACAACATTCACTCCACAGGGAGGTATCCAAGAATAGTGATTATTTCATGCTTCCTTGTGCAGATAGCTATAATCCACACCGAGAATGCAGTATTAAGGTTAACATGTATAACTTTGTATAACATCAAACGTACCTTGGAATATGGGAAGGATAAGGGAACAATTAACAGAAAGACTTTTAAAAGATTATTCTGGCTGTGGAAGCATATTATAATAGAGATTTACTGAACAAAGACATCACCTCAACTAAAACAAGAAAAATGATAAAAGAATGAATATCGATTAATAATAATGACCATCCATCCATCCATTCATTTTCTGTAACAGCTTGCCCTGTTCAGAGTTGTGGGGTAATAATGACGAATAAAAATAATAACTGAGGTACTGAGAAAGTATTATATAATCCCAATCAGCCATTCTATGATTCAGGATATTTTTGAAGTAATAATACAAATTTTTAGTAAGACAGCAGATTCATTTTCTTTCTCAGTGTTCCTGAATATAGGCAAGATGCTTGCTGCAGGAAACTTGGACAGTACTTTGTAGAGATACGTATGATATACCGCATTCTGTCTGAATGTTGGGAAAGGGTTTTTGATTCTGGAAACATAATCTTTTCCATTTAGTTATTTCTACTTGCATAAGGCCAAAAAAATGCAGGACAGGCATTGCTGCTACTTTTCCTGCTGTTTCTCGCAGCCTCCCTGAAGTTTAAATTAGTCAGTGAAAGAGACCAATCTGCAGTGCAACGGGACAAGATTCAGCAGCTGCAGAACGAGCTCATCAGGGTGAGAGCCGGCGGGACTCCTGACTGTCCATTGGACCATGATGCTTTTTCTATAGCATGGCGATACTCTTTCATCCCAGAAGAATGACTGTGAGAAGATGCTGCAACAGCTACAGAGGGCCCACCAGCAGCAGCAGACTGTCATGCAGCAATATCAAGGCCGGCTGGCCAGAATGGTGGACCTAGAAGCGACAGTCCGGCAGCAGGAGAAGGTACTGCATGCTCCCTGGACAGTCCCTTCATTATCCTGCCTCTCAACAGGCATACACAGCCTGATTGTGCAGTCTGACAATGCGCTCAGTATGCAGGGTGCGGCTCCTGATTCTGTCTCATTGTATATTCCCAGAGTATGCAGACATGTAAGCTCTGCACTGTAGATGCTGCTAATTAAACATTCACGGTGACTTACAGTGCAGTTACAGTGTTAATATATGTACAGCTGGATGGGGTTAAGTGGGGGCAGTGATTTTATTTCAACTTGCACACAGCCTGAATACTTATGCAGCATAATTTTTCAGTATTAGCCTTTGTTACTAATTTATTGACTACTACAGACAAATTATCCATTTTCTGATAACTATTCTGTTTTAGTGTGCGAGGTTGCAATAATAAAGTCACAGAATGAAATCTGTTTGCATCATCTGCAATCCAGAATATTTGCAAGCATTCCCAAGGCTTTACTATTGTTTAAGGCACTGCATATAGATAAGTTGCTGTGTACTATCACACTATTCGTATAGCCTTTCTGTGAATCACAGGATGAAATGCTTTTTTTGTGGTGTAGGTCATTGAAAAGATGGAGCAAGCTCTGAGTGGCAAACTGTCTGAAAGAGCTAATGACAAGGCTAGCCATGTGAAAAAACAAACAGGTGGGAACTATTTTCAGTACACACCCTGCTAAGATCAAAACATTTTAAAAAACATCTCTCCCTTGTGGGGGCTAATTAATTGTCATGAGACACATGGCTACCCTGGGACGTTTTGCAGTGGGGTGGGATGGGGTGGGGTCTGAACCGCTGACTGCCAAACAATGACACATGCTTCCATGTGCCAGTGAACGTGAGGAAGGCCCTCTGGCCACCTGTTTCAGGTCAGTGTGGCTAATGAGGATGTGTAACAGTATCGGGGCTGAGACACTGCTGCCCACAGGTGAGCACAAGCACAGGGGGTGGGAGGTGGAGCTGGCCCTGGCAGCAGAGAACGCCCGCCTGAGGGCGGAGCTGGAGAAGCTGCAGAAGCAGCCAGTGACCATCCAGCTGCCACTGCAGGTAGAACTTCTGAACACACTTATATCTACTAAACGTCCAGGCCAGGTTTAAAATGTTTGTTATGATTAAGATGTGAAATTAATATATTAATTAGACTGTTTGGTCACAGTGTGTGACTCTGCACCTGGGATCAGGTTGCTGGTTCAAGTCCTGGGGCAGACTGTCAGAATCACGGCCCTGAAACCAATAGACTGAGGGGTGCTGCATGCTGACTGCCCCCCCAAGCCTGCTCTTGCCTCTCTGAGTTAGGGTTACACCTTGTTTTTAACAAGCAAGTCCGCTTGTTTTGTTTTTCAATAATGTTAGCATGCCCGGGGGGGTTGGGCCGCAAGGTTTTTTTTCCCTACTTGGGAGTTTTTGATTCCTCTCTTCCATTGTCATCTGGTTTTTTCTTTGTTTCTTTCCGTCTTTCTTTCCTTTGTCTTCCTTTTTCCTGTTTTTGTATTATGTATGATGTATCACAACACACCCATGTAAAGGGCCTTGGGGCAACTCTATGGTGAAAGGCGCTATATAAAAATAAATTGAAACTGAATAGAATTAGGGTTAGGACTCTATACCTGTGATCAGAAGGTTGCTGGTTCAAGTCCTGGGTGGACTGATGTCATCAAGGCCCTGAAGCCCCCAGTTGCCCCAGAGGTGCTGCCTGCTGATTGGCTGCCAAGCGCCTACTCCCACCTGTCTGTGTATCGCATGCACAGTGAGATGGGAGAGGTGAGAGTCTCAGTCTTGTGATGTTTGCTTAATTCTGTTAAAAACTGTTGCAAATGTATTGGTTTCGTAACAGAAGTCCACTGATAAATCTGCACATATCTTCTGCACAGACATTTTCTTTTTATTAACCTTTTATTTACTTTTTTGGCTGACTTTCAGTTCTGTTCTTGCCATTAGGCTCTTAATTGCAATTATAGTCACTGGCTGCCAAAGGTATACTACACACGAATGTTTGGTGTTTTATGTTATTGCGAAGGTGTTCCTAATTAAAACTGCTTGCCAATTAACTTTTTTAACTCGGAAGAGCTCTTATAACCATAATTTGGGTTTCAATTCATTAAAATGAATGTTTTACTTAATACTGCTGGTTGTTTTTAATATGATGTATCAAGTCAAATCACTTTTATTGTCACATCACTAGAACAAGTGAACTAGTGAGTGAATGTCTTGGGTCACAAGTTTCTGTCAGCAGTGAAGTACATTAAATTAACTGTACAGAACTGTGCGCGATGTCCTCCAGACTCTGGCTGGCAGCCAAGTCACACCAGCACCTCGACCCCTCTTAGGTTCCTGAGCCCTTCAGTGGCAGTGAAAAACTGGCCCTGCTGGTTCAGCTGGAGAGGGCACAGACTCAGGTCAGCACCTTGGAGATTCAGGTAGGCTTCCTACATGCCAGCTTGAGCGCCACTGCAGCCAGTGCAGGGTCCCACCTAGAGGCTAAGACATGACAGGGCACCTCCTAGGAAGGATTGGTTTCTTCATAACAAGGACAGCGCTGCAGTGATGGCGTCGTGTTTTCCTAAAAATGCCCACTAAGCACTATGCAGTGCATGTGTCTAACTATCTTCCATCTTTCAGCTGGAAGAAAATTCACAGAAGTGGGGCAGAGAAAAAGAGGAACTCTTGACAAGACTGAGTGAACACTCCCATGGCTTTGCTCACAAGGCCACGACCCTCCGTGATTCTCTTTTGGTCAGTGTTGTATCTCACCCCTGGAATTTTTGAGAAATTAAGCTGAATATGAAGAGTATACATTTTAACCCCAAGCCTTTGTAAATATCATGGGAATACTATTTTAAGTTAGGTTAAACCCAGTGTGCGAAATATGGGGGGGTCCGACACCCTGAAAGCCTCAAAAGCAAAATTTTAAGGGGGTCTCAAGATCGGTATTGTGCAACAATAGGGAGAGGGGGACCCCCCCGAATACTGACGGGTATTTCGCACACTGGTTAAAGCTATTGAAAGACAACATGATAGGGCTTTCTTCTGCATGTGCTGATAGGGAGGTCAGTACTGCATAATTTTATAAGCATTAATGAAGTTATTACAGTAATTCTATAGGAGAGCCTCTGGTCATGGCAGTGCCTTGAGTGATATTCTTGTTTTCCAGACCACCTCGCAGCCTATGATGTCCAGAAGTAGACGGAAGTTGCATCTTCTGAAATGATCTTCCCCTCCTTTCCTTCCAGAATCCTTACATTATTAAAATTATATCTAATAATATAGATAAAATAGAAAATCATTCTGAATGTTATGAGAAAAAAGTTTTGTTTTTATGGTGATTTCAGTGAAATTGGTGATTCCAGGTGGATGATTAATACAAAGATGACACATTTTAACAGATATTATATTAGACATTATATTAGATGTTACATGTAGAACATGACAATATAAAATCCACCACACAATAAACACAACATGGGGAGGGTGTAAAGCTTTAATAACTCTTTCAATGAGTTAAATGTCTATTTAATAGCCTTCAAGTTACACACTAAAAACTAAACACGAAATCCAAAACTCCCCAGCAGAGGCTACTTATGCTTGGCTAGGGGCCGTATGCTCAGTAAAATGGGCTTTTCTGGCAACAGAATGAGCTGGAAGCTGCTTCTCACCTCCACTTGCCTCTGCTTCTCAATTCGGAAGTTTTCAAGCATCTAAAAATGAAGAGCGTGGCTGTGGTGAGAGTGTTGGTGTGACACTGTGAGCAGGCAGCTTCCTGCACTGGTTAATATCTCTCTGGCCCTGGTGAACATTTCATAAGGGTGTTTGGAAGTGGAAGCCTTCAGGCTCAGTGCAGGTTAACGCTGAGGACAGCGTATCGACAGTGTTGGACTGAGTGAAGTGCAGCCAGGCGTGGACTCACGTGGATGAGGAAGATCTGCATCTCGGCCTCTGCGATCCTGCGGCCCAGGCACTGGCGTGGTCCAAAGCCGAAGCCCAGGGCCTGGAAGTAGTGGCCACCAGGGGACAGCCAACGTGAGGGTAGGTACTGCTCCGGCCAGGGGAAAATGCGGTGGTCTCTACCCATGGCATACAGGCCCAGCTGCACTAAGGTCTGTGTAGAAGCAAGAGGGTTCAGTGGAACTGGCAGAACTGGGGCAACCCAGAGTAATTAGGCTGGAAGAATCCTATGGTCTCGCTCCTGTGTGCAGTGCAGGGCTGGAGCCTTACCCCAGCTGGAATGTGGTAATTCTGGATCACTATGTCCTCTGTTATGTATCTCTGTAAACTCACAGCCACAGGATGTAACCTACAGGGGAAAGGAAAGCTGTGATCCAATGGTGTAACGGCAACTGTCAAGCATGCATCATGAAACACACGTAGCTTTTAGCTCAATAATGCTGTCCTCATCTCAATATGCGTACCACATAGAATTAACTAGTCATTGGTGATGGCAGAATTTTTTCCAGCATCTACCTGTACCTGTAACTGATGAATTGCACAATGAAGTAATGTGCTGTTGATTAATATCTGTTATTCCCACTTTCTGTCTTTGTTTCCAGTCCTTGTATTTTCCCTGTATTATTACCAGCAATAAAGGCTTACTAAGAAATGGTCTCCTGTGATGTCTTAAGCAGCTCTGCAGCCAAAGCAGGGGGTCCGGCAAAGTTTGTGGGGGATTCTAACTTGTTCTTTTACTGTCTGGCTATGTGTTTGATCCAGAGCAAACAAATCTGGGGTGGGGGGGGGGGGGGGTTCGTACCCGTAATTTTACTACATGGACTTCTGGCTGCTTGTGAGTATTTCACTGTTCACTACACAGATCATACCATGAGGAAAATGTCTCGGTTCATAAACAAAAGCAATTGATGAGTGACATTTATTTGTGCAAAGGGTGTGGATCACTGAATAGAATAAGACTTTATAAATGTAGGGTACTTCCTACCTGCAGAAGGTACTGAAATTTAGGTACTTCGAAACAGTAAGTGAAAAATTGCTACCAGTGCAGAATGACATCATCAAAATGTGCAGCATGGAGTTTTGTACTGAATTCAAAAATGGTTATTATAGTATAGCTTATTGCAGAATTGAATCGGGAGCGGGTGATGTGTTTGTGTTCTAAACTGTGTGGGAGGCTGTGCCAGAGGAGCATGAGAAAAATAGCAGGCGTGGGACATTCATGGGCAGAATTGAGGGGCCAAATTATTATATTCAATGAAACTCCAGCGTAATAGAAGTACAATATATCATACATACTGTACCTACCTGCGCATCTGAAAGAGGTTTTTGTGTTGCTACCCATTAACTTTATGTTGCTGATGCAATTTGGCTCTCAGGGAAAACTAGCGGGGGAGCCCTGGTATATTTTATATAACCATAGCTTCAGAAAATACTGTAACCATTTCCTTATCCATCCAGACATGCCATTTGGATGATTATTGTATTTACGTAAATGCACAGGTAGTTCCGGGACTCTAATTAGTTATAACATATATTAATGTGCAGCTGGTACTTTCCTTGGCTCATTTTACTAATATTTCTGTTTTATTAAACATGTTATTAAGGAAACCCATAAATAATCAGTCACCCTTATCAAGAATTTCCCTTGGTTTTCAAAACGCAAGCACTTGTTGACAGTTTCTATGATAACTTAACGAACTTGCCATTCCAAGGAGTAGCCTGACCAGATGTTCTATCATTATAGGGACTATACTTTTAAGAGTACACTGGAACCTTATTAAATGCTGACTGAAATAATTTTCTTCTGAAAAATGAACTGTGATATTTATTCTATTACTTTTTTGTTAGCTAGCCATTGTATAAACGGAATAAACAGCTTTTAAGTGTGCGGCTATACAGAAATAGCATTACACCAAGTTGTTCTTCCAGTAATACTGGTTTAAAATGGCATTAAGAGTGAGCTGGAGTCAGCTGTGTTCAGCGTGGCCATGTTCTGCCTTCTCTGGCGGACTGTCGGCTAGGTATACCTCAGTGTTTCCTTGATGGCACCTTTGACTAACGGCACCCTTTTCAGCATCTGCACCATGTCCCCCTGCGTGGAGGTCCTTGCCGCTGCTATCTCGGCCCGTAGTTCCTCCTGCAGGTCTGGGTGCCGAGCCAACTCGTACAACGTCCACAACAGAGTGATAGAAGTCTGCAACCCAGGCCAACAGTTCAATATTCACAGCTCCACCAATACTGTTATAATAGAATGACCTGACCCCATAGGTGACCTACCCCCCCAAGTGAATGTAATGCCTGGAGCCAGCGTCCAATACACTGTGCATGCCTGGTGTTTGGGACAGTGCATAGAAGATAGTTACCGTGTCCACACCCCCAGCCATCAGTTCTGTGATACTGGCTTTAATGTCTTCAATAGACAGTTTGTCCATCAGCAGGAGGCTGGCCAGCACCCCAGGGTACTTTCCTTTCATGCTGGACTCCTGGCGCAGCCGCCGGTAGGTCTTCTGGATGCAATAATCCGCTGTATAACCAACGCAGACACACGTTTCTGTGGTTTGGCTACAACTTCAGGGCCTCCTCATTTATGTTGTTTACACTTGCACATTTCTGCTCGTCGTGATGCATGAATACTGCATCCATGGAAACAGATATTTAGGGTGCTTTTCCACTGCACCAGGTACCATACTTTAAGTACTTAAAAAAGTAAGTATGGTACTTCGAGGTGTTGGTTTTCCACTTGCTTAAAAACTGGTACCACTGCTGAATGTCAGCTGGGTATCATGATGTTGGAGAAAAAGGACTTGAGGGAAGGCGTTTTTTGAACTGAAAAGGGGGTTTATTGAAGGAGAACTAAACAAAACAGGGACAGGAAATAAACCAGACTGCAAGGGGTCAAATTGAGAGTACTAAACCAGGGAAGGGCACGGACTAGTAAGAGTGACACTTTTTTTTTGCTTAATAAATATCCCAGTATTTATCGCAACAAAATCATACTGTGATATCTGACTCTTTTTTTCCAATTTTGTGCAGCCCTAGTATAACAAATACCTTCATTTCATGTCATGCCATGCAAATTTTCTGGTTCTTCTGACCACATCCCAATTACATGCATACATTATTACTTTTTATTTATTTATTTGTTTTTACGAGGTACTTAGTTTACCATTGTTTTCTGAGTTTGCAACTTTTTTCAAGACAGCAGTTGTATTGCATTTCAGAGGCAGGTTATTTGCATAACCAATCAACAATAAACACATTTGCAAGTCCCATTCCAAAGTACTGAACTATCAAAAAAGTATGCCTGCTAATTTGGTACTTTAGGTACTGTAACTTTTGGTACTGGTACTTAACCGGAAGTCAATGGAAAAGGGAAGGTACTGAAAGTACTGTGCCAAAAGTACAGTACTTGATTGCAGTGGAAAAGTGCCCTTAGTCCATATGGCCAGGCTGTAACCTTACCGTGGCTGAAGATCCCATCCCAAGCTTCCACATGCTCTTTCCATGGCGTAGCCCTCAGCAGCCGCAGCAGACCAGGGGGGATATACAGCATGGGCAATGTGCTTTGGAACATAAGAGTGATGCAGTGGATGAAGCGCTGGGCTTCAGGGTCGATGTAGTCTAGCAGCAGCCCCAGCCGCTCTCCATAAAGTACGGATCCTACCGCTGAACAGTGCAGAATGGGAGAGCCAAGGGAAGAAAGGTCACTGGATAATGATTGGAACTGGATACAAATACAAATACTAAGCAATAGGTGGTTGCACTTAACCTGTGTCTAAATTAACAGTAATGGGCTGTTACTACAGTACTTTGTGATCCCACTCACTGCCATGACGTACAAGCATGTCTCACATTCTAGGGCATATTTGAAGAGCTCATGGGAGAGATCTGTGGTCCACTTGTCCTGTCCACTCCTCTCGATCTTCTTATGAACCCTTGACACAAAGTCTTGGCCAACCTCATCCAACAATGGCACAAAATTCCCAAGCATATTTGGGGCGATGACCTCTTTGTTCAGAATGATTCGGCTGGACTTCCAGTCCTCTCCTTCCCTGGGAAGAGCAGCAGTTATACCTTTACTAGAGAGAACTCCTAGAAATGGCAGGTAGCCCCAAACAGATTCAGGGGGGCAATCACAGGGGTGCAATCACGACCAGATAAGATACAAAATCAGAAACAAGGACCAAGTCCAAGAGCCTTGATTTAATTTAATATTCCTGCATTATACACCATTCCATATAACTCAAAAAAATGGAAGGAGTGTTACATGCTGCAAAAATGACCCTTGATTACTTGAGAAGGACTCCATATTTGCGGTTTCTGTAGTCTCGGTATGCAGTCCACGGCTCCATTTTCAGTCTCTTGGGGTAGTGGCCTTCTGCTCTGAACAGAATGGCTGCATCCTCCGGCTTGATAATGTTCACACTCTCATAATAGCCAATTTTCTCCCTGCAAAAGTAAGACAACCAGAAACTTTAATTATCACTGGGAAGAAGACAACGCCCATTTACAATACCGTTGCAAAAGTCTTAGGCAGCCAAAGAAAATATTTAAATGGTCTTCATGCTAGTATAAAAATATGCTATTATGCCTGTGAAAGTGTGTTAGCCTATCCGTATCAGTGTTTGCAGCAACCATCCAATACACCCGTGTGTTTTTTGACTCGACCACTGTCACACCTCATATAGCTAATCAATCTCATTGATGTTTTTAACAAATCAATCAACTGATCAATCAATTCAACCAATTGATAGATTGATCCATTAACTGATCAATCAATGAATTAGTTGAATTAAATTTCACCACCAGCTCACTTTTTAATTAACAATTATGTAGAATGGCTGAGGTGCGCTTGAGTATATGTTTGAGAACTGAAGCGATGATCTAGCCATTCAACTAGATATCACACACATCTGTAATTCCAAGTGCTTTGAAAATGCTGTTGCAGGAGCACTTCTTATGTACTTCTCTGTTCATGAGTATGGTATTATTGAAGTGGATGTTGTTTACCCACCTTGTTTGTATCATATGGTAGAATGCATTACATAGATAAATATGTCTTTTGGGCTGCACAATTATGACATTACAATATCACATCGAGTAATACTGCGATATTTATAAAACCAAAAAGGAGCTGAAATTACCCAAAATAGACCTTTGACAAATGGAACTTATCTAACAATAACATGTGTCTAGTAAGTTGGTGTTGTCATGAGTTGTGTTAAGACAGAAAGAAGTGCCGACAAATGCGATATGATCATGCACGTGCACATCGCAATGATGCTGCTGGAACTATTTATCATTCAGCACTTATGTACACACAGTATTAAATAGAAAAAAACACAGCGGAAGCAAATAAACATAATCACAGACAGAGCCGACTTCACTAAATGCATTGTAGCCAGAAGGCTAATAGTTCAATTTTTTTCCTTTACAAGAGGCATCAAACAAGTATCATATTATTGATATGACACTATTGATATATTTCAATTTTTAATAGCTGAAGGTAAGTTAAAAAGCTTTGACCTATAAGCAGGAATGCGTGTCCTAAACCACGGAATGGATCACTGCAATGGACCATTTTAGTTTGGGCAACAATCTAAAAGTAGGTTTCTTTTCTGATCCAAGATTATCAGAAGTGTGTTCATGGTGCAGGATCCCCAGTTGGTATGTACCCTCAGATAGTCTGGTGGGCCCTGCCTTAGTCCTTGGGCCAAGGATATGGTCCAGCCTTACTGACCCTGTACTAAATAAGCAATATGTAGCTGAGCAAGTAAAATGAAACGTACAATATTTCACAAAATTTTAAGTAACTCTAAGAATAAATGTAGCTGTTACCACCCACCTCTGCATGTATCAATTAAAAAGTGTACACAAGTAAAAGCAAGATTCTCCCTTAAAATGATCAATAACAACAATATATATATTCACCAACATTAAATGTGTCATTACTGAACATTTCTTACCGATAAATGGGCCCAAAGATGTTGAAGTTGTGCACCATCATCCGATGCACGTTCCTGAACCCGTCTGTCTTCCAGAAGGTGTACAGGTTGGCCAGCTGATTGTTCCACAGCCCAGGGATGTCACTGAAGGGTCTGACAGCATCTGGGTATGTGCCATGGGTCAACGCGGACGTGCTGTCACTGTGGCAACTGCAGTGGGTGTTCATCATAGATGTGAGCGCCTGGCGCGAGGCCATAGAGCTGCAACAGGCACGCCACCTTCCTATCATGGCCACCTCTGTGTCCTGGACTTCTGCTCTGCTCCTCATATACAGCATATCCCCCCCCCCACCAGGGTTAGACAACCCCTGCAGCAACTGTATTGGTTCTCAGAAATAGAACTGATATGTCATTGGCTGCCTAGACTTGGGTTCCCAAACCTCTCCTCAGGAGCACCTCAGCCATTCCATTTCTTCCTTAAAATTCACCAACAGTTCACTTTACCTCAATTATATCATTAACAATGATCTATTAATTAGCCAATCATGGTGTGCTACTGCTTGAGTCAACAAATAAACTGGTATATTAGATGATTACTGCAAATACTAGGGTGGAGGTTTTGAAATTGCTAAGCTGGCAGACTTGACATAATATCATTGTTTGACACCAACAAGAAGATTTAAACTATTTCCTATTACTTGCTAAAAAAATTATGCCATATGCAAAAGCTACCCAATTTTCCGTCGGGAAAAAATAAAACTTCATCATTATTCTTTCACTGTTCCATGGGTTATAACTGGAAAATGTTACTAGTGGCACACTCACTCTGCACTCAGCATTCTTTGTTTTTTTCCCAGTTTTCCAAGTTTGTGTATTTCAAGTGAAATTCTTCAGCAAAGGGTTGGATGTATGGGGGACAACAGGACAAACAGCAGTGCAATGTAAGAAGAGGTAAATGTTGTGGTAAGTGTTTCAGTGATTAGCAGAACAAGGCAGATGGCCTCAGAATTATTGTAATTTTTAAACAGAAACTGGTTATGGTGTAGACTGTTTGTAGAGTAACATAAAAATTCAACAAAGAGCTGACTTTTGACAAAACAGCTAGTCATATTTTTCGTATAATTACTTGAGAGCTAAATATTAACTGTCCCAGATAAAATTTAGGTAATGAACTTCTAGATTTATACTACCATCCCTTTGCACCTGCAGGGAAAATCTTTCTGAGATAAGGATGAACAAGGCCGGACAGACTAGGAAGCAGAGAGACCTTGGCACTGGAGTGTTTTCTCCCCAAACAGACATGGAAGGACAATCCCTCCGTCAGCGATTGAGTAGCCATGTACAGTAAACAGACAAGCTAAACACACACTAGCCTTGAGAGGGTTAGGGCTTGGGGAAGTATCCTTCAGTCTGCAATGAAACCACAACAAAAAATTACTGGTGATTGTATTAGGATGAACTCATGGACGATTACGTCGCCCACATAGTATGTAAATTGCTTAGATCAATAAGCATTGTTCACTGTCCACTGCCCCCCATATGAGGTGGATTGATTACTTGAAATTCAGATACGTACGTCGTCCATGTAAAGGAAAGTAGTAAAGATGCCCCAATGTTCTTGGTTGATCATTTGAATACAGACAATGTTAGCAAATTATGATCATGGGGGAAGTCTGGGAGAGAATAAGGGGTTCCAGTCAGGATATCGGCCTAAACCAAGAGTACAGGGAGCAGAGGGATCCAGGGATAAGCCGGGATCAACTCCATCAGCTCCGTCTATGACATACGAAGATATGAATAGACTGCTAAATGAAATCAAACAACTGATGGCACAGGGTGATGCTCAGACTGACTCGGGTGTCAAATCCAAGGAGTGATTTGAAATCTGATAGATTTGGCAGACCTAGTGTTGAAGTTGCAGTTAGAGGCCGCTGTAACAAATGGTTAGTAAATTAACTAAAAACCAGTTCTCACTGCTTTACTTGATATTCGGGTGAAATAGCAAATAACGCATCGGAACTGCCTGGGATACAAACATCATACAAACGTCACGTTCTTCAGCCAATAAGGGCAAAGTTGTGTCGTCACGGAGGCTGTTCCAGTTTGTTCAATCGGCTGAGAGCTGCTGTACGATCTGTCTTAAGTCTTCTTTCTCTTGCAAAGTTTTTGTACCCTGTGACATGGTGACGTGTGATGACGTTTTGCAGTTTAAAATGTTCTCCCACTAATTTCCACCTATGGCCACGAGTTCTAGTATTTAAACTAATATTGAAGTAGCCATTTGGCTGAACAGCATCCAGACCTGTTAGAATCTTATATACCTGGATCATGTCCCCCCTTAATATCCGTTGTGCAAGGCTGAACAGATTCAGCTCAGCTAAGCAAAATGGTGTTTTTATTGAACAGCAAAAAAATATATGATGTAATACAATGTAGACATACACCAGGTACTGAAAGGCAGCTCAAATACAAATTAAGGGCAGTTCTTCACCCACCCTCTATACCCCAAAAGACCCTCCCCAACAAGATCACGGGCACACAGCTCCCTGCGATCCATGACATCCACACTACACGCTGTCTCAGGGAAGTGAACCGTATCAGGCGGGACCCCAGCCACCCTGCACTGTCACTTTCCACCCTCCTCCCATCTGGGAAGCGACTGAAGTCCATCCGGACGCGCACCTCCAGGTTTAGGAACAGTTTCTACCCAACTGCAATCAGACTCATGAACAATCAATAACCTGTGTCACCTCCACTGCTATCCATACATATATTTCTGTCTCTCTCTCTATTTATTCCTGGGATTCTGGTCTTATTTATTTACTTATTTATAATTCACTTTATCATTACATTCACTTGTTGTCCTGTTGTCTATCCATCTTGTTGTTTATGTTCACTGTCTGCAGGAGAACATGCAAGCACCAGTTTTCGATCCACGCTGCTATAGTTCCTAAGACCCCTGCAGCTTTGATCTTAAGCATGAGCCGTTTGTGGGGGACAACATCAAAGGCCTTCTGGAAATCTAAGTAGATCACATTGTAAGCCTTTTTGCGATCAATTTCTCTTGTAGCTTCCTCAAAGAACTCAAGTAGATTAGTTAAACAGGACCTACCTCTCCTAAATCCATGTTGGCTATCCCTCAGAATGTTATTTGAATCCAGGTAATCTACCATTTTCACTTGGATTATAGCTTCCATTACTTTTCCAGTTATGCAAGTTAAACTGATTAGCCTATAGTTTGCTGGATTACTTCTAGGCCCTCTTTTGTATATGGGTGTTAAATTAGCATGCTTCCAATCAGAAGGTACCACACCAGTAGATAAGGATTTCTGAAATAGTAAAGTTAAAGGTTGGCTAATAATATCCCCCATCTCTTTTAAAACTATAGGTAAGATGCCATCAGGGCCCTGTGATTTATTTATTTTGAGCTTAGCTAGGCTTAGTACCACATCAGCCTCAGTTATACATATGTTACCCTAATAATTTGGGGTATGGTGGGTTAACTCCAGTCCTCCCTGGGGCGTGGAATAAACAGGTTACAGTTAACTTATTTGTAGTAGACTTTATTGAGGCACACCGAACTACAACCATGGCTCCAGCACTCCCCCCAAAAGCTCCCCCAGTTCCCTCCTCCTTTTCGCCCCCTCCGGAACCTCTGGCTCCTTACCGTAATCAACATAATGTTCCTATGTGACATTGTTGCATCAAAAAAAAATACAAAACATTTTCGTTTCATTGACAACAAAATATAACACACCGTTACACATATATTGGTCACAGACAACGCTGTATTTGCACTAAATGGTGGCAAGTTACTTGTATCCTCTACTGTGAACACCCATGTAAAATAATCATTAAACTCTTGTACTATATCAATTTCATTTTCAATTATAAGACCCCTACTATCCTCCAGATTAGTGATTTCAGCTTTTAGAGCTCTTTTGGAGTTAAAGTATTGGAAGAAACTTTTGATGTCATCCTTAGCCTCCAATGCAATCTTCCTTTCTACATTTCTCTTAGTGAGGACACAGAAGGTGAGGACATTTAATGACGGAGTCTACAAATATTATATTTGTGACATACGGAGAGATAGTAAGAAGCACACGCTTATTGCCTGGGTTCCAAGCAATCAGGGGCTGTGCAATCAGAAGGGAAGCTGAGCTTCTCTCTCCCTGTGTTTGCAGCTGAGCTCCATGAATTTGGTGATTTTGACTATAAATACTGATTGGAATCATACAGAAATTACATACATGTCTTGCATACCCCCATGGCTTTGTCCCACGTCAGGCAAAGACCAAGACATCAGGACAGGTTTATAAATGTGAAAGGAATTTCCTGACTATATATGGCATGTGGTTATTATTGATGTTTTTGTAGTATAATGTATGTGTTTGGGTGTAAATGTCGTTTTTGTAGGTTTTCCTGTAGTGCATTAGGGATGATACCAGTGCAGAAAAGAAGAATGGGGACAATGACCACTGTGTCCATTTTCCAGAGGTGATTTTTTTTTTTCCATCTGCCAGATTTGTGTATTTGCGTATTTTTTCTGTTTGTCTTTTGTAGGTTTTGTGCGTCTGGTATGGTGATGTCTGTGGTTTTGTTCTGTTTGTCAATCAGTGTCATTTGTTGTGGTGGATGATTTAAGGTAATCTGGGCTAAATGTAAGTGAACCAAGATAAAGTGCATTTAAACTGGGGCACCTTAAATCCAGCAAGTAATCCAGCTAAGCATGAAATCCTGTTCTGTGACACAGGCCCCAGCCCTGACATCCTCCTCTTGGGTCATCCAGGGTGCCTTGAGGAGAGTCTGCCATGTAAGGTTTAAAGATAAATATCATAAAGACTTCTTACAAAATGTTCAGTTTATTTTAAAAAACCACTGCACACAAGACATGCACAACACTGAATGACAAGCAAATACAATCCTTAAAAACCTGTCAATTCTTTCTACAAATACATGCAAATACAAAAATGTTAGTTCTGTCCCAAAGATTTCAGCTGATTTAAGCAGCAAAAACAATTAAAAACAATCTGCCACTTCTGGAGCTAAAACTCACATGAATAATAAAGCCCATATAACACATATATCAATTATCCAGGATGATATCTGCAGTGGTGTGGGGGTCCTTGAGGGGCCCCATGTGGGGCCCCGTGAGGGGGGCAGTGTGCTGCATCCCCCTGTAAGTGCAATGAGCAGCGCACAGCAGCACAGCGGAGGATGTCCTCAGCACGGCCGCAGCAGCTTCACGAGCTCCTCCAACTTGAGGGCAAGGCTCAGGTCACCCTGCACCAGCAGCCGCCCATTGGCATAGGCCTGGAAGGGGGGCAGGCTGCCCTCAAACAAGGCCAGCAGGTCCTCCTCACTCAGCTGCAGGGTGACGTCTGGATCCCTGTCAGGTGTCCCCAGTCCCAAAGCCCCTGCCCCTGCACCACAGGGAGACACTTAGTCAAGTGAAAGTCTACACAGGAAGATGCTGGACAGCGGTCATGGACAAACATTCCCCAGGTTGCACTGAGGGCAAGCACAACATGAATTAATCGGCCATCAACTGCCCAAATTGGATTTTAGTCACACGCATGGAGGTGGATCCCTATTTGCTAGTTCACAGTGACTTCCAGGTCCAGCCTCACCGTGGCTCAAGTCCACATAGCAGCTCCTGACTTGGCCATCATTCCGGCTGATGCTGAACTGGAAGCATGCCCCCACCTGCCGGACCAGCCGCTCAGACAGGAGAGGCTCCACGGCACCCAGCAGATCCTCCAGGCTGCACGGTGCAGGCGTGTCAGGATGGCGGCACCCTTGCTCGTCCACCAAGCTCACAACACCCCCTGCAGGGAGACATCCATGGTTCCTCAGTGACTGAAACGTAAGGGGAGAGCTCAGAAAAGAGGATGCCAGTTACCCTTACCAGGCTGAGAAAAGCCACTGCTGCTTAGAAAGCGTGATGCGATCTCCTGCAGGGGCCCCAGGCCCTCCAAGCCAGGTATCAAGGGGGGCACGAGGACACCCCCTGCCTGGCTGACATCTGGGGCCTGCAGCACTGATGCCACTGTAAGCTCCACACGATCAACCTCCAGTCCCCAAGGTCGAGTCGTGTCATTAATATCCATCTGTAATCCCATTAGTCTGAGTCATTAAACAACATTGAATACACACAGCTATTAACGAGCTCTGTCTAAATGTCTGCAGTACGGGAACCCCTCTGACCCCAAGACGCTCGCCCAGTTTGACTCTCTCCAGCTGGACTTCTCTGGCCGTCTTTTTGCTGAGCGTGTAAGTCATAGCGTTCTGCGCAGTGAGACGGGTGGAGGCATTCAGGTCCTGCACGGCTATCACAGACATAACTGGGTTCCATATTCTGAACTGTATATCAGCGCCCACTGACAGCAGTGCGCCGTCCATGGTGGTCACCTGATGCAGAAGAGGAGAATGTAAAACCACTAGGCATGGTGATGCTGCTCTTTAGGGACTGTGAACTGAGATCCAGGGCATTTACCTGGCAAGGCGGGATGTTAAAAGCTCTGGTGCGAAGATCAACTCTCTGCCATTGGTCAATGAAAGGCAGTATCAGGACCACGCCGGGCCCTTTTGGGGGGCGGATCCGGCCCAGACGGAACACGACGATCCTCTGGTAATTGGGCACCACCTAGGACAGAGAACCGACAATAACAGACAATAATAATCTCTCTACAAGCTGCCACAAAAGAATACATAATATTAATCATCATTCTTATAACAATGACACCCTAATTTACATTTCAGTTACCCATAGGGCTGCATGATATCACATCACGATTACGTGGTACATGCACAATAATCACCAGGGCTTCAGATGATGGCCGTAAACATTTGGCCGGATGCCAGCTTTTCAGTATTATACTGATGTTTACTTCCGCCCACAATTTGGTAAGCAGATTAGTAGGATTTGTCTTGTTTATTTTGAGGTGAAAGTAAGTGAACAATTCAGGTGACTGAGTTATAAAAATGAAAGTATTAAGCCTAATACTCTTGCATTGATTATTTTACCAATTTCAACTAAAATATTTTCAAATGAAATATTCGATGTTTAAATAAACATTCACATTAAATTACAACCCCCAAACATTCAGGCATTATTAAATGCGATGCTTTTTTATACAAGTATTATTCAATGCAATGCGTTTTTATTTGATTAGTGTAGTTCAACATGCTTTTTTTTTTTACATCAGTGACTTTTATCATTCATTTACTTCCATGCATAAGGGTCTTCACCCTGCGGTGTGCTGGTTCCCGCCTGTGCCCCTTGCTCCCGGAATAGGCTCCGGTCCCCCCCGCGACCCCAGTTGGGATTAAGTGGTTACGGTGATGGATGGATGGATATGGTTCTTACTTAACGTCAATGAAATATTTGTCTTAATATACAGTATATATTTTACCATTATATAAAACACTTAAATATTTCCAAATATACTACACACAGTGCCTTGTTGGGGAGGGTCTTTTGGGGTAAAAAGGGTGGTGAAGAACTGCCCTTAATTTGTATTTGAGCTGCCTTTCAATACCTGGTGTACAGTATGTCTACACTGTATTACATTATATATATATATATATATATATTTTACTGTTCAATAAACCACCGTTTTGCCAAAACTGGAGACTCTGCAAGTGGATTGCTTACACTTACCTTGAGGACAAACCAAGCAGACAACGGGAATGTGAAAAAGACAAAAACATAGACCAGAAGGGTGACCATCAGCTGGCACAGCCAGGAGAGCCAGCCCTGGGATCGGTCTTGAGAGGAAACACAGATCGGTAACTAAGCAGAACCATAACACGCATTAAAATGATTTATATAACGACCAATTATACATAATAGCTGTGGTGGAAAAAAATATTAAAATTAAACTTAAATATATAAACATATGACTGTTCTGGAAAGGATTCACAACTGATTTCGTTGCATCCTTTTAAGTTGTGTACCTGTATGTGTTTCTACTAGTACTTGAGACTGCAGGTAACTGGAGATGTTTTTTACAACTTCTCAATGGATATACAAGTTGTGCAACATAATTTTAGATAGTTTATTTACAGTTCGACAGAAACATACAGTACAGAGTATCCCCGACGGTCTCCTCATCCGGTACCTGTGAAGTCGCCGTCCGTAATTTTGGGGACAAAGTCAAACGAGTTTCCCCCTCGCAGATACGGAGACTGTACGGCGCCGCCCACAGAAACATGCGAGTCGCAGCTCCAGTCGCTCTGCGGAAGGCTTTGGTACTCACAACCCGAGGATCTCCACAGCATGTCGGCGAGGAAACACTGCGTAGGCGCCCTTGTCAAGTGTACCAGTTTGTTTGTTTGTTTTTTACCCGGAAAACATTACTTGACCATGGATAGATATATGGTCTGTATGTATATTAAATGTTGAACTTGAAAGCATTAAATAATACTACTAATAAAATAGTTTAAATAATGAATTGAGCCATAACAGAACCTTCGCTTTTCCCACAATGGTTACTTCCGTGTTTACGAAAGATCTATCGAAGAAGAGAGAGGCGACGGGCAGCGCCCTCTGCTGGTTCAGGAGTTACTGGAAGTATTTCGGAACGTCAACCTGGGCGCATCATCCAAATGCCGTTGTACTCGATCACCTTGATCATATTACACAGGTGAAATTAAATTAAACAATAATTATGCATCTAAAGTTAAGATATACATAATATATTGCAAATGAAATCCAACCGAGCAGCAATGCTACCCACTGAAACACTGTGTCAATCCCTGTCATTTATTAATCGTAATTATAATTTATTTTAATGTACCTTGCAACAACAAACTATCACTGTTTGTTTGAACCAGTTTTTTTTATTGCATCGTCATTCCTCCAGCCCCATTCATTAACCAAATATATTCATATTTTGTTGGTTAGTAATTTTCATTGTTTTACCAAAAATGTCAATATGTCAGAACTGTAGTAAACAAAAAATATAAATATGTCTTAAATTAAAAGTATACATTGAAATGTAATTATTTGCTATGGAGCAGATACTTTGAATCTGATTTCAGGACTAATTAAAGTATCATTTATCATTGAAAGGGCTATACTTATCTTTAATGTTTCTCTTCATTTGTTTGTCTCTGGCTTTGTCACTGTGTTTTGCACATTTTTTTGTTTGCTATCACTGAGCTTAAGCATAACAATCATTACACAGGAGCTTTGAGTGGGTGCAGGCTGCTGTTGAACAGGAACAGACCCTGCTGGTAAGGGCGCAGTTAAAGATTTTGGGCCCCATGAAAACATGTCATACTGGGCCCCCAAGTCAGACTCTGCTGCCAGTCGGGGGTGTCGGAGTCATCTCCACCCCCCATGGAAGCCCTGCCTGCAGGTCCAGACACACAGGCGTCTAATGCTTGAACATGTCAGATAGCAGCTTCTCCATGGGTGTACTCCTAATGGTCCGGTGGAAGAACAACAGCTCCACTCGCTCTGATGTGACAAAATGCAGAGATGAAAGCAGCAGGAGCAGTTTTCCGTACCTGACACAAGTGACAACATGATCATGAGGCAAATAAACAAAAGTTTATGCAAAACAAAAGTCAAGAATTTAAACGCAGACTCTGACATTTTGACAGTTTCACTTTTTAGTCAGTAACACTGTATGCTGTAGAACCTTTGATAATAGGTCTCCATCTGCATATTTTCACTACAATGTGTCCATAGGCAGTGTCTTACACCACTGTTTACTTGAGTCATTGTTGTGTACTTTTATTTTATTTTTGATTTATTTCATTACTCTTATTTCTAGCTGTCTGATGCTATGAAGAATTAGAATTTTATTTCGTTTGTGTGAAATGATGACAAAATGACTTGATTTAGATACCTGGATGGATTGGTGGGGTAGTGTGAGTGGACGTGCTGACTCAGCATCACCAGTGACTGATCCTGAAGGTATTCAACTTGCTCTGGGTCTTTCAGACCCCCAGTGTCTGCCCCATGGAGAAAAAACATGCCAGTTCAGTCCACCAGCTTGCACAGTGCAAGGCTACTAGATGCTAGCTTGAGTAATAATGGCAGTGAGTAAGAATTGCTCGCTAGAACTACTTTTGGACCCACCTGGCTTAAAGAGGGTAACAGCCTTAAGGCAAGCAAACTCAGTGGGGTCAACAGCGAGGACCTTGAAACGCTTGAAGATGTCCCCCAGCAAGTAGACTTCAGCGCCAGGATAGCTGGCCCTGCCCAGCAGTGGGGGTGAAAGGTCAGGCAGTGAGAGTAGGGGGCAGCTCTCCAGGGGCAGAGACCACTGGGCAGCACAGAGCAAGAACAGCTCACTCCAAGCTTCCTCCAGTAGGATTACCTGTGGACAGCAGCGCAACTGTCACATCCTGCTGTCCCCTCTGGCAAACATGCATCAACTGAGCGTCCTCACAGCTAATATCTGGTAACCTAGAAATCCCCTTTTCTTGCTCCTCTTAATGCAAGAAGCAACAGAGATTTGATATGCAATAACACCCTAGCAGGGGGGTGAGGGTGCTCAACAGAATCTTGCCTAGTGCTCCATGTCCCACCTGGTCCCTGAAGGGCAGGCTGGCAAAAACAGGCAAGTTCTTGACCCACTTGACTGACATGAAGAGCAGGCGTGCGGACGTCTCGTGTGCATCCTCAGGGCTGCTGCTGGGGTACAGGGCCATGTGCTGTTCTGGCGATGCCCTCTCCGGCTCGTTAGTGGTGACATTGATGGGCTCATCCACTGTGACATTGACAGTCAGCACAGAGATATGGACATGTGAGTAACAGAGTATACAAAGTATAAAAAAACATCGGAGTGCTGCCAGAAACTGAGATAATGCATCAGTGATGATCGCTTGTTACAACAGCATGACTTGATCTCACCTTCCTCAGGCTCCAGTTTGGCACACGTCTCTGCAGTCATCAGGCTGACCATGAAGCGGTGGCCATTCTGGGTGTTGAGGCAGTACTGGACATTACCCGGGGAGCTGGCAGAGCTGTCGGCGTGGGGCCGGGCAGATGCCACAATGGGAGATGTTGGGTTGTTGCCATTGGACCGGTCAGAGGAATTAGGACAAGCAGAGGAGTTCTGCTCCCTCGTGGTAGCCAGGTGCTCCTGGCCCATGTCCAGGTCCATGGCCTCCAGGTGTACCTGGGCCGTGCTCCGCGGCTGCCTCTCATTCTGCACAGCTGTGGGGGGGACAAGTGTCACAGTCACACCAATGACACGGCTTGGTAGCCCTATGCCCTGTGTGTCACGACTCATTACTCCTGTAATATGTGCTATAGTAGCCCTTCCATTGCTCCTGACAATGCAGCTAATCCTTCAAAGGGTGTTTTTCACAGGGTAACCATAAGATTCTTTTCAGTGCCAGATAGCTGTTCATTCCTGTCTTTCAGGCAAATCATTCAGGCCAATTTATTTACGTATTACTCTACTTTTACCTTGGAAAATTATGATTGATTCTGCTTGTGAGCTGGTGCCCAGTGTAGCTGTACATGGTTTTGTTTTTCACTTTTCTCACCATCTTTCTTCATGCCGGCTTGCAGGCACTTCTTGAGTCGGCAGGCTTGACACTGGTTCCGATGAGCCTTGTCCACAGGGCACATTCCTGTACTGGCTTGACACCTACAGGAACAGCGAGAACGCAATCAGCAGGGGCAGATTGGCAACAAAAAAGAACCTAAGAATTTGCTGCTGGCCAGATAGGGGGACCCCTTTGTATGGTTTGCTGATCGCAGTCAACTGGTTGGTCAACTGGTACAGCATTATCCATTAATCTTCTCCAGCAATCGACCTGTAAACATGTCAAGATAGACTGACGGGTTTTGCACACGTGCTATATAGACTATATTATGCCAGGGTTGGGGAAAAGACAGTGACCCTCAGAAGAACTTCCCAATGGCCAGTCCACGGCTGACCATCAGACTGCTTCAGAGCAGGAAACGCCTTCAAATGACCCATCGAGGATACCACGAGTGAAGTTTAAGTAAGCTCCAATCTTTCTAAGTGTTCCTACAACAGGAGGCAGGTGGACACACACAGACTCTTTCTTCCAAGGGACGTTGATTGCCATCTGCTCACCTGTACACAAGTCTTCGCCTCACGCTGCGCTTGAAGAAGCCACTGCAGCCGTTGCAGGCATGGATGCCATAATGCCTTCCACTACTGGTGTCTCCACACACCTTACATAGCAGGCCTGGTCCAGGGGGACCCTCTGGAGATGAGCTCCTGCCTGTGCCCCCCCCCACCCCACCCCACACAATACAGGTTTAGGGAAAAACGCTCCTGAGATCTACATGCATGTTCATTCTGTCATCCTGGTATCGCAAATCACAATTAGGAACATGTCTGCTTTACTTTCAGGACTGAAAGGCCAATGATTGATTCAGCATGAATGTAAGAATATAGCTGGATGCAGATTAATGTGTATCTAACCTGGTGTTACTTCTCTAATTACTCCCATCCATTAATTTGATTCATGAAAATGTGCTTTTACAACCATAGAATAGAATGCATTTCACTACTAGAATAAGCTTTCATTACATCAATTTTATGCAAAGGATATTTATTTAAAATAATATTAACATTCAATAATTATAATAATAACCAGCATTCACTCCAGGATGTCACCCTGTCTCCCTAAGCTGTAATATAACTGTACTGGATAAGTAGTTAAAGAAGATATATGAATACTTTATAATAATATTATATATTATATTATATGCGCTACAACTGCAATATATCAAGCATCAAATGTATGTTGAGGGTCAAATCATGTGTGAGAAATCAAGAGACATCCCAATGCGTGATAAATAACTGAGCAGGAATTTCAAGATTCAAGATTATTTGTCACATACATTTATACAAGTACAGCGTGTAGTGAAATGTACCCTTATTCAGTCCTGAGGCTGTGCAATAAGTTTTCGCAAATGAAAGATAAATATCAAAAGCGTAAGACTAAAGGTAATGAAAATATATCCAAATAACATTCAAAATTTAACAGAGAACTGGTGTCAAATCAAATTGACTGACATGCTCATTGGTGATACCTAGGCCCACAATACTGGCAGAACTTACCGCTATGGTCACCTGTGTCTCTGCTCCCTACACTTGGTGATGGCATGCTGGACATCTCAAGGGCGTGATCTTCAGTTACTCTATACCAACAAGCAGTTGAAAGTCGATCCTCACAATATACTTTGGATCAAGAAGTAAGTTAATGTGAGCGTCCTACAGCTTGGTGGATCTTCCTTTTCGTAGGGATGCGGGAGTCCGGATTTCCACTTCCTCTTGCAGAACAGTCAGCTGGCCTTCTGTCTGTTTCCCCAGGATCTCTACTGACATGTGAACCAATGGATGGTTTGATTTTCACCATGGATTTCCTTCCTTCTTATTAACTGCCATCCTCTGTGTCTGAGCTTGTTCTCTCTCTCTCCAGGATTGATAAAAGAGATTTTTTTGGCAGAGGAGGGGGAGGAGATTAGTCCCAAATGCTGTGTAAGCACAGGCTTACATGTCATCCTTGTAATCTTGACTGTTCATCTGGGCTTAAGTCAGTCACACTACAAATGCTCCTGGCCAATAATTTGGCCAATAATTAGGCACAATATTGGGAATGGGCATTAGATTCATCTTACTAACTTCAGGCTGACAGGATTCTTCTGCTCACATGCACCCATTGTGCGTATGCCCATCCTTGGTCATGTTGCCATCCACAGCGCCACACTCAATCATGCTGACTAGCCCTTATGTGACCCTTTTGTCCAGTGTCTGTAAAATCCCATCTTAACTTTTTTGTAATTCCGATTTTATGCCATTCATATTTGCCAGCTTGCCCAGCTGTCCATTAACTGCCATTTTGTTAAGACTAATCAGAGGTTATTCTTTTTGGGGAAAAGTGGGAGAATGCCAGTGAGATAGGGATTCAGTTCACTTCACTTAAACGGATTGCAGCTCAGGCTGTGTAATATTACTGAGCCATACTCCAAAAGAAGAATGCACAAAATACTGCAACAGTGGAAAACCTGAAAGTAACAACAGATAGGTTGTTAGTAAAGATATTGACATATGATATTACATTCATAAGCGCCAGTAAGCAGGTAAATGGTCTGGCAAAGGTATTGAGCTTCATGGAAAAAGCAGTTTCCAGTGGCACATCAGATATGACAGGTGAAGTATTTGAGATAATAATAGATAAATAGAAAATCAGCAGGTGTCTGTATTAAATTGGGAATTAATTCCATCACACCCAAATCAACTAAAAATTAACATTTAATTAGAAAATAGCACACTTCCCTTATGGAATTCCCAGTGCTCTGACACCGACTGGCAGCAGGAGAACACTGAGACTCTGCTTACCAACAAAGAGCTGTCAGCATTCAATCTCCAGCTATGCTTTCTGTAATTTTATATACTATTTATCTGTGTATGTATTTTCTTCTACTCTATACTAAACCTGACTGTACGTGAGGTCAAGGATCCCTATCGGCACAAAGCCAGGTACAGCTTGGACAGGATACCTGTACGTGTCATCAGAGGACTTGTGTTGTTCTGGTTTCCTCTCCAAACACATGCAGTTAGTCAGTAAATTGTTCATAATGTGTGTGCGTGCCCCTCAATGGACCAGCATATGCTGTTATATCACAAACAGAACAATGACATGTTTTTCATTAATGTTTGCCAACCCTGCTCTGTGAACCTTTTACAGTAAAAACAGACAAGCAGACAACCATTAAATATCAGTACAGTGTGTGTCATTTTATTGCTTAATAGCTTTGTTTAAGAAGTAATAATTCCCTCATAATGGCATACTGCAGATACTATACTGTACTATATGATACAATATACTATACCATAATATATATGTTGTGAAAACATGCTATACAAAATGTGCTAATAACAATTTGATTAATTTCTTTCTCTTCTGTATATTGTCTATACAGTTATTCTGAAAAATCAGTCACAATCGGAGGCACGATGGGTTGGCACCCCACACTGGGCTGCCTTGCGCCTGTAGGACAGACTCCAAACCCCCACGACCCTGAATAGGACAAGCGGTTTCAGAAAATGGATGGATGGATGGAGCTGGAGACACCTGTTAGGACAGAGTGAGCATAAGCCATGGGAGCAGCTGCTGGCCTCCGCTGCATCATTACTGTGAGGGGCCCAGGCGTGTGTTGTGAGTAATTAAAAGCATGTAATAGCATATGTGGTGCTGGAACAGTTAAAAGCCAACAAGACTGTTAATTAGTTTAAGTAATCCTCCTTCCTGCTTTTGGTAATTACTGGCCACTGGAATTCTAACGGCAAGGAATGACAATATGGAGGTTATTGGCAGGATCTGGACCATACTGTCTAATCCTACTATGGCTAGTGGGCAGGGCAGCTGTTAGCGAAGCATGATCTGAAAAGTGTGGCAAGCTCTTTTTACTTTTTACAACAGACAACTTACAGTCTCTGTGTGGAGCAGTTCCTCACTACACAATCTGCAGTGACATTAAATGAGAATTTTGAGAATTTTCAGATGTACTGTATGAAGCCTAGAGAGTGAAAGAAGAGGGGAACACACACACACATACAAGGTGCAGTATTCCTCTGTCACAGACTCAGCTGTCCTCTATTTGTAGACATAAGGGAAAGTGAATGTGGTCAGTGACGATGTCTGCATGTTTTCATAGAACATTTCATAGGTCTGTGCACAAGGCAGCAAAATCTGACTGGCAATCAGTGAAAAGATGGGCAGATGTTTTATGCATCCAAAGCAAAATTGAATGAAAGTTCTCCATTTCCCCATCCATTTTAAGTAAAAAAGATATATTTAGATAAATATGTATAAAAACGGAAACTAAAAGCAGTCACACAAAGAAAAATACACATGCCATACACAGACAGAGAAACCATTCACAAACAGTACTGACACTTACATGAAAGACATCCGATGTTTTCATTTCATCCAGAATAAATCATGGTACATATTAGGCTGATACATTCATGATTCGTCTATTAGACACTCATTCATTGTGACAGAATTTGAAACATTTTAGCGTGCATTATACACAGTATGCTTATCTGAGTTCAGGTTATTGCAAATGACACCACTTAGCCCGATGTGGAGTGCATATGGAGAATGAAGAATAATTACACTGGTTTACTTTGCTCACGGGGGGGTAATGACAGTGGCAGAGGGGAACACTGCAGTGGCTTAGAGCTGATCTGTGAAGTGCTGACACTGTCATTCTGCCAGCTGTCACCATGCTGCCTTATGTAACCGGCAAAGAGTCCGCAGCCCATGTCTGGCATTCGGAGAGAATCAATTATCCTTCTGCATGAGCGTCATTAAACACCCATGGCCCACTCTATTGCACCGAACAGGGAGCCCATAGCAGGTGCCCCCCATGAAGAACATATCTCCTGTTCCATTGAATGCTATTTTTTTTAAAATAACAACTAAATTCCTATAACATACATAAATAGTTAAAAATGAAAAAGTGACGATGTCCTCTGTGTCTATTTGCATGTGGTTTTGGGTCACAGGATACCATAGCCTAGAAACTTCTGAAAAAAGACATCTTTCCTATAAAAATGATTATAAAATATATGGAGGTTAAAAATGAATAAAAACTGCTGTGTCCTGTGTAGCTAAGGAAGTAATACAATCTTGGGTTTTGGGTCACTGAATCCCATAGCCTAGAAGGTTTAGGAAAAAATAGTTTTTGTTTCAATACAAATTACTATAAAATACACCTAGAATATTGTGTGCAGGTTTGGTCACCATATCTTAAAAAGGACATTGTGGCCTTAGAAAAGGTGCAGTGTAGGGCCACAAGAATGATTCCTGGTCTTAGAGGAATGTCATACGAGGAAAGGTTAGTTGAGCTAAATCTGTTCAGCCTCCAGCAATGGTCCAGGTATATAAGGTATATAAGATTCTAACAGGTTTGGATGCTGTTCAACCGAATAGTTACTTCAGCATTAGTTCAAATACAAGAACTCGTGGCCATAGGTGGAAATTAGCGGGAGAACATTTCAAACTGGATGTAAGGAAGCACTTCTTTACACAGCGTGTAGTCAGAGTATGGAATAGTCT